TGGAGATATTCAAAACTCGCCTGGACGTGATCCTGTGCAACTTAATGTAGGTGACCCTGCTTTGGCAGGGGGGTTAGACTAGATGATCTCCAGAGGTTCTTTCCAACCCTGACCATTCTGTGGTTCTGTAAAACCCGAAAAATGCCCCATCCTTGGAAGTGTTTAAGGACAGATTGGATGGGGCTTTGAGCAACCTGATCTAGTGGAAGGTCTCCCTGCCCATGGCAGGGGGGTTGGAACTAGATGATCTTTAAGGTCCCTCCAATCAAACCAGTCTGTGATTCTATGATGTTGCTATGAAAATTTTCATGGAAGTTGCTATGGGGCCACCTGTTTCTTCCTTACAATCTTTGTCTGCTGTGGCAGAAAGGGTACCCATCATTCTTCATCAAGGTATACCTGTTATAGGCAAGAGAAGTTGAAGATACAGCTTAGGCAATACTCCACTGTTCTTGAAATGTACCTCTCCAAACAGATAGATGACATAGTGATAAAAGAAGAAGGTAAAATACAGATGTTAGGGGTTAATGATAAAGTATATTTTCATGTGATTAATGGAGAAGATTTCCTAGCTCTGACTACCAGGAAGGCAGAAGCAAGAGTACTAAATAGTGCACAAACCTCACTGTAAGAGGTCAGTAGAGCTATGCCTGTTTAAAATTAACCGTTGACATATATATTTACAGAAGCCATTGCCGCAGTAATTAAGAAATGGATTTGACAGCTTTATTTCTTTTCTGAAGGTACATTATTACTCTGGGGCAAATTTCAGTACGAATTGCTACAAGCAAAAGGCTTGAACAGTTGATTCTAGGAAAGTTATTTGTATTTTTGTGTGATGTACGAACACATCAGAAATATTTCTTGCAAAAACTTCCTAAGACATTTTAGGCTTTATTGTCCTTTTTATTCTTTAAAGTAAGAGACCCACGACTGATGCAGAGTTCTTTTGACATACAAACTGTATAATTGTAAATTTACTAAAAAGAAAGAAAGAGATATCTTTATGAATCACAATGCTAGAGTGACACCAATACACTAGGGTAATTAGTGCTTGTCACAGCTGGGGAATGTATCTTTTCAATTAGCTGTGGTATAGCTCCTTTTCTGTGCTCTCCAGGTAAACCTGCTCTTCAGTGTCACAAAAAACAGAATCTGTCCCTGTTTCTCATGCACTGTAATAGAATAATGTTGAAATTCTTACTTTTAGTTGTTTGCTGATGGATAGCTTTACGTGTGCTGAAGACATTAAGAGGAATAGGCAGGGGAGGAAACCCTAATGTGTGTGTAAGTCTCCGTGACTTTGCTTCCTAGGCTGTGCACAAGAAGATGAGTTTTGTCGAATGGCAGATCTTCAAAACACCACAGACAAATACTTTGTGTGTACCCTCTATCCAGAGGCACAGATTTGTGATGGCAGCATTGATCAAATACCAGAAAACTGTCGAACCGTGCTACCCTGGCAACCACAGACACTGTATCATAAAATAGGCAAGTTTTGGGATTTGGATATATAACGTGTGCTCTGACCCTGGTAATGCAAGCTAGTGTTTTGGCTCTTGTTTCTGAGATAAAAAGTCTGAATGTATGAATGAGTCCTGGGTTGATGGTGCAAGGGAAGTTCAGACTATTCTGGGTATGGTTTTTCATTCTTAGTTCAGAATGGAAAGATATTAACCATGAGTTCCACTCTCCACTTCAGTTATTCCTGACTCAGAGACACCAAGGGTAGCTCAAATAATTTGTATACCAGGTCTTAGATCTTTTCATAGTGTGGGTGAAACGGGAATGTCATTGGGATGTTTTGAATTCCATTTTCTAACATTAAAATTTCCATGGTGGATAAGCAATGCAAAAATTGAAAGTCATTGAGTGTAATTTTTTTTTTTTTAGCAAATACGGAGTTATAGATGTGTGACTTTTAACCTCTGCTCTTTGAATGCTTGGGAAGTTCAAGGATATTCTCATGGGGCTCATGTTAGAAAGCTGGACAAACAAGCCTGTTATCACTGTACAGGAACCTATAATTTTGCTGTGAAAAATGCAAAGATCCACTGAACTAAACTATTAAATTGTGTGTTTTTGGTGAGCCCAAAGTGCAGCACAGGTTGAATAATGCATGGGCACGCTGGAGTCTTCCAATCTGAAGTCGTCCTCCAGTTTTTGGACCTTATAGAAGGAACAACATCAATACAGGTCTCAGAAACAGAAGCTTTGGGCTGGAAGTCTTTTCTTGGCGATATACTTTGCCCAGCTTTTAGAGCCTTCACTTGCTGGATTTTTGTTCATCTTCAGACTTAACCATGAAAAGGTTACTGCGTTAATGTAAAATTATCTTTTAATAGGTCAAGACCATTGTAGCATAGAAACATAAACTTCACCCTTATCATGTGATTACTTGAACAGTATATGTAAATTACAAGCTTAAGCTGATTTTTCCAATTTTGTTTTTCTTTTTCCTTCCAGTCACTCTAAAAAGTTCCGTGAAGAGCTTCTACACACGTGTACCATTCCAGAAAGTAACAGGGATCTCAGTGAGGAATAAGACTGACATGAGCAGAAAAGCTGTTTCAGATGGGTAGGACATGACTTCCTTTGTTTTTACTGGAAGTTTAACCATGTCTGTAATACCAAGGCTCTGTTATGCAGATGTTCAGACATATTGATCCAAGAACAGCATTATTTGAAAATATTTAACAAAGAAAAAATAGCACATGATTTAAAGGAAATTTATAATTGAGTTATAATAATGTATATGATTAGTAATTATATATATGTGAATTGTGTCTTATACTGCTATTAAATTGCTGGTTGACCAGTTAAATCTCTTGGCAATAATACACCAAATTAATTTAGGCTGATATTTTTAGGGCAGGTATCAGAACAATTGTCTAAATTATTAGATGTAGTCTGCTATATGTATGCTGATCAAACATAGTTCCATCTACAAATGGAAAATGTATGGAAGTGTCTATGCAGTGTGAAGAACCATGAAGCAGTCTTTTCGTGAGAAACATCTCTGCAGGTTCTCAGTGTCTCACCCTTATGCAATATCCTCTCTTCCCTTCTCCATGATAGAGACAGATTATTAATGATACTAAGAGTAATGATGTTTTCCCTTTCACAGCTTTTTTGAATGTGAGCGTTGGTGTGATGCTGACCCCTGTTGCACGGGATTTGGCTTTTTTAATGACTCCCAGTTATCAGGTATTTTTTCATTATTTTTATTTTTAAAATAATTTGAATCTTCCTTCATTATTCCAGATTTTACCTTTCTTTTGCTGTGAAGGACACTTTAAAAGCCCTTGCAGATCTTATGCAACTCTCTTTAGCACCTTTTTGAGTAACCATAACCATTTCTAGGAGTTCAGCCCAATGACATTCTCCACATCTCAGAAATTATTAAGGAACTTCATGGAATGAGTCCTTAAGAGGCTGCAGTTCCAACAGTATGAAATTCAAACTGATAAAACTCCAGGAAAGTGTTACTTCTCATTTATCAACCTCTCTTCCAAAATGTTGTTTGATATCTTTTTGTGATTTTTTTTTTAATGTCATTTCATTTTTTAAAGCCTAAAGGACTTAGAAACCTAAATCTTACTGAAATTATGTGCACATTAAACACATAATGTCTGTGGATACTTTTGGGCAGCTTAACCTTTTGGCTTTCTTGGATGTCTGAACTTCTCTGCTCCCCAATTTTAGTCTTCTACTTGAGGAAGATTGGTTGGGGATAGAAGTTGCCTATTTTCTCCTCAGTATTTTAGCTACTTAAGAAATCTCAAGCAGGATTTCTGATAGTCTGAGGACATCAGATCTTTAAAAGTATGCATGACTTGAAAGCCATTAGAAAGTCAAACAAACATATTTTACTCACCTGAGATGGCTTAGTTAAGGGGTGTTGTCACCCCATGCTCCCTCTCTAGTCAGCAGAGAGATGTGTAGACACAACTATGGGGTCATTAAGAGCTTTGGTTGACTGAATTGTATTCTGGAGGTACTTTTGTTTCTCTCCACTGGCTGTAAAGGAAATGTTCTGTTTAAAAGAAAGTCTTTAGCAGGTGTTTAAAATTGGATGCCACCCAGGTCAAAGTCAATGAAATATTTTTTTAATATTTTATTCCAAATTCAGAATTAGGCCACTAAAATGGCTAACCTTGCTTTTGGTAGTGTCATGTGCTAATCAACTCTCCCTGAGGTCATTAGGATGTGCTGGTTTTACAACTCATTTGGGAATTTGGAACACTTCAGAAACATGTATTTTTAGTTCCCTTTTCTGTTGAGCAGACAAAATTTTCACTCAGTCAAAAATGAGTAGTTTGGAAAAAGAATCCAGTGTAGTTTAGAATGAAATTACTGCACAAATAAAAACTAGTTGACAGTTTGCATACCTCCATATGGCCATGTGAAATTTGAAGTCTTAACTGAATATGACATAAGTTTCTTTAAATAATTCTAAAATAAATGAAGGATTTTAAAGCACCAGAGATGCAAACCTGACACCTCTCAGTTTATCTGATTAATATTTATTATCTGTGGTGTTTCAAACATCCAGTCCTGGCATTCATATAGTCAAGAGAACTTTCAGTAGTGATTTTAACATGAGCTAGGTTAAATCTTAAATGAAACTGGTAGCTGTGTTTCAAACTCTGCATTTTTTTTCAGGAACAGAAATATTTACATGAAGTCTTTGAAAGGCAGAATTTTTATCTTGATGTAAATAGGGACCATGTTTCCACATACCTGCAGATTTTTGATTTCCAGGATTGCATTAACCGGAAAGGGCTGCTTGCTGAAAGAAGAGGTCCTGACCTTTGTTCAGTGGAAATACTCAGTGACCTTAATGGATTATAAAGTTGATACCTACCTTCTCTCACATTGAATTCATTGTGATTTTTCAATACTATTTTCAACAACAGTAAAACTTGGCCTATTTTAGGTATTTATTTCCTTTGATTTCCAAGTCAATGGAATTCTGTTTAACACTCAATGGAACCCTACTGTATTCACTTTTCTCAAAATTCTATCTAGAAGAGGAAAAATTTCCTCATCATTTCTATAACCATGTATTTCCCTGGCAGGTGGAAAGATCATGTGCCTGACTCTGAACAACCTAGGAATCCAAACGTGTGCTGAGGAAACAAGAAGTGCTTGGCAAGTTTCAAATTGTAGTTCACCAGATGCTGAAGTCAGAATACACCCGTTTGGCTGGTATCAAAAACCTGGTAAGTGATGCAGGGCACATGGCCTTTCTGACTGGTTTCTGCGCATTGAAGTTTATTATTTTGCATCAATGTATAGCGGCTCCAACTTTCGGATGGAGGACCAGTTTGAAAGGATCACAAATAGACAAGGCAGACAAGTATGTGCAAGGGAAAGAAGTGTGCAATTTAATCTCCATTTTAATAGAAAATGAATAGAAATACCTGAAAGAGGTATAATTTAATTTCTTAAATTGTATGGGAGACTTGTTGCCAATGTCAAAATCCAAATATATTTTTCTTACAGCACAGTCCTGACCAGGACATAATTCTTCATTTCTCACTGCATGGCTTATGGTTTAACAGTGTGTGTGGATGCATAACTTCAAAAGCTTTGGTTTTGTTATGGAATTTAAAATTCACTTTTGGCTGTTTTGTTAAAAAAAGAGCCAAGACCAAATTCCAAGGTAGCACTGTATTCTTCAAGAAGTAAGAAGCCATCATGTGCTTAAACAGAAGAGAAGTTATGAGAGGTTAGGTTATTTCCTCAAAAGGAACCAAAACCACTCCTAGTCAAAGTGAATTTTCTTTTCTATAGCAAAACAAAGGCTCCATTACTTTGTTGAAACATTTCAGTGAGTTTGACATTTGTCACACTCCTTTTGCGTAGGTCTTGTTCTGCATTGTTATGCTTTGATTTAACATAACTGAAACAATAAGGAAAGCAAACATCTGTCTGACTGTATTCCCCCTTATGAGAGGATAGACAGTTATTGAATCTATATAGGCAGAACCTTATTGAACTGCACTGAGAGCAGCGAGGCCTCATGGGGGTAGGACTGGTGATATTGACAGAATCAGGGAAAAAATTGAATAAGGAGTACTTTTTCCTGGCTTTAAACTCCCTTAGTTCTTGCAGAGTAGAGAAAGGCTGATATTTGAGTGGAGAGGGGTGGCATGAAGTGTGGATATATACTGTCCAGGGCATATGATATAAAGACAATCCAGTTAAAGTTATGTAGAGCTAGATCAGATATCCTGGCAATTCATTGCACTTTACAGTGTTGGTAAACTTAAAGTAAACCTTCATTCATACTCTTAGCTCTTGTCTTGCCTGAGTTTTTAGAAATCTCTGTTGGTTGCATGCATGGGCAATACAAAATGGAAGAAGCAAACAGAAAATCTGACCTGTCTTCAGCTTCTGTAGGGATGGTAATTTATTTTGTCTTAGTAGAGAATTTATAACTGATTTGATTAGCCAAAGTGTTTTACAAAATATGAATGCACAGGGAAAGTGTCTGAAACATCAACTCAATCCTGAGCTTTTCAAGTCCTGCGCTGGCGCTGTGCCCACTAGACCATCCGTTCCCTCCGCTAGTGGGGCAACCCTTGTTAAAGAGTGGAGACAGCACGGAGTTGGGAGGCATCATGGAAGCTTATAGGGAGGGATGGGCTGAGAGTCTAGCACTGAGAGAAAGGGAACAACAGCCCTGATAAAGTAGGCAATAGCAGCAGCTGGTGGGCCGGGAGAGCCGAGAGGCAACCAGAGGTAAGAGTGAAGAATGTTAGAAAGGTGAAGTGAAGAGGGGACAGTGGAGGTGTAGAGACACTTCCACTTCTTGGAATTGTTTTCCCTCTTGTTGGCAAAGAACCAACTAAAAATAAAGGATGTTACACTTCACGGACAGAGGGGTGATAAAGAGGCGCCTGGGATATATGCAAAGGGGGGAATGTTAGGAGAGACGGTGACATTTCCTCATGTACTGAGGAAGCTTCAGATGTGTTTCCACCATAACACACAGCAAAGCACAGATGTTTATGCAAATGGAGATGTTTGCAGACAGAAATTTGTATCAGTTGTGCTGGTATGTTGGTGGTCTGGGTACCAGGAAGAGGAACAAAAAAGCTTTGAGGCTAAAACGGAAAATGAGTGAAATCTGAAGGAGGAATTTACCCTAGGCAGTGGGATGTTAGCATGAAGCAGGGTCTTTGGTTTTAGTCCACATCTTCTTGTAGGAAGGTACTTGTGCCTCCGCATTAAGTTGACGTGTGAGCTGTTTGCCCACACGACTCCACTCATTAGCAATTTGATTTAATATGTATAGACATGGTTGCAGCTCAGTCAATGAGGAATGTATAGTAGCATTTTAATGAGAGTTCTGGTAACCCCAGTTCTTCGCTCTTGTCAGTGTGAATGGTAAAACTCCTGAGTTTTTAGAAATCTCTATTGGTTACATGCATGGGCAATACAAAATGGAAGAAGCAAACAGAAAATTTGACCTGTCTTCAGCTTCTGTACAGATGGTGATTTATTTTCTCTTAGTAGAGAGTTTATAACTGATTTGATTAGCCAAAGTCTTTTACAAAATATGAATGCACAGGGAAACTTCTTGTTTGTTATTTAAAATTACAAAATAATTAAGGGAAATATTAGCAAATGAGAAGTTTTATGTGTGGAAAATACGAACAATTATTTGAATTTTAATTTGGAAAGTTTCCTGCTGGCAACTGACTTGTTCCTAATTCTTGTTTTGAGAAATTCCAGTTTGCTAATCGGGAAGCAGAAAAAAACTCATGTTTCTTATGATGCAGAAAACCAAATACAGAGAGGGGCATGGAAAAAAACACACAACTACTGAAAGGCATCAGTAATTGTTAAATGTAATTTGAAAAGTGTTTGTAGGAATGTTTATAAATATGGAAATCCAGGGAAGCCCAGTTTCATGTACGAGCTCAAAACGGTTAGACAGTAAAGCAGCCCCACATCCGTGCTCTGGGTGTTTGTGGTGAGAAAACGCAACATTCAGATCCCAGAAGTAATGCTGGAAATATTGAGGTGTTGATTTAAACCTTCAAGTGTAATTGTTTTCAAATGTTTTGTTTTTTTCTGCTTTTAGCTGACATGAAGAACACCATGCCTAACCTGTGTCCACCTGTTAGTTTACCTCTGAGACCAGAAAGTGGTAAGTGTATGCATGTATTAAGCCAAAAAAAAAAAAAAAAAACAAAAAACAAAACATCGTCTGTGTTGTGTGTGTATTGCTAAAAGATCACACTATAATGAAACGGTTTACTCATTCAGGTGTTTACTCATTTTTATTAATCATGTATCATTTAAATAGCAGAATTGTTGTCATCCACAATGCCGACCTAATATCTCTCAAACTCACTGCCACAAGAGGTCACTGAGGCAAAATATTTGGCAGGATTGATGAAGAAATTTATCATTTATGATTATGGTTGTCACATCACTTTCAATGGACATAACTTCATATTTTAGTGCAGTAGCCAATGAAGAAAAGCTCTGGCAAGGGTAGCCCCCCAAAAAGCTGTTTATTGCGTTATTGTCCATTGTTGTGGCATTTCTAGTGCCTTTCTTGTAGCATCTGGTGCTTACCAGGGGGCAAAGGATGTCAGATTAGACAAATCACCAGCAGTTTCTGTTAGTAATGCTGAATGCAAGGAATAACAATGAGTTTTCAAATAGACATAAACAATTGCAATACAGAGGCAAAGTCAAATTTAGCAAATCTCATTTTCCCTGAAAACCAGGATGATGAAAAGGGCAATTCCTCCAGAAATTAGTGCAGGTTTATACTGCTTTTTAACTGATGCTGCAGAGGATTGGTAAACTGTACTCCCTTTAGTCCTTGTTTGTGGTTTCCTATAAGGATGGAAGTATTATCTCAAAGATTATTCTGAACTGGATCACAAGAAATGTAGTATTTGAGGTGTGTTTTAAGTCCCACTTTTGAAGAGATGTTGTAACTTGCTATGACACCTTATTTTGTATCTGGAAGAAAATTTATTTCAGTCTTGCAGTAAATGAATCTTACAGTACTCACATGCTTTATTTTAAAAGTGGGTGGATCCTCTTAATAAATGAAACTTAACTACTGCCTTTCAGGGCTTTGTGTCTGTTGCCCCCTAAAAATATATGCAAATTGTCAACAGCTACAGGCTTCCCTGATGTGTCCTTTCCAGAAATACACAGCATATCTGCTAAATGCTCTGGGTAACGGAAAAGAAGCAGGTTGACTAGTCATTAGATAACTCAATTTACCCCTCAAGTTAGACTAAAATTGAGAACTCTTATCCATCTCTGCCCTTGATTTGCTGTTTGATGTGAACAAATTTTTTAATCTGTTTATGTCTGTCTTTCCTTAAACCATATGCAACTGGACTTGCAGGAGATGGTTAATATTTGCAAAGAATTTTCAATTTCAGGTTCAGAATTTATTATTAACTTGTTTATCATCATATCTAAGACCATCAGTCATGATCATGTTCAGACTATTTGTATTTATTAGTAAAATTGGTCCTTTTTTAATGATCATTTTAATATAACAGAGGGAAAACTCCTACCTTTCTAGGTAAGCATAAATAATTTTTGTGTGAAATGCTTCAAGGAGCTAGTGGGGTAATGTGTAGGTTAGGCAATCCAACTCCTTTGCAAACTGTTTTTCCCATGGGATGTAGAAAACTGCTTTGCTAAAGCTTTCTTCTTCCTAGTATGAAGTTTAGTAGTAATTCTGCCATTTTCCTTTTACGTTTTTCTTGCTTTCTTAAATCTGGGAAAATAGTGACCTAAGCAGCACTTAAGGAAATTAGACCTTTCTATCTGTCATTTGTTTTCTACTCTAAAGACTGCCCAGAACTTAACCACAGCAAGTGAGGTGCTCATCTTGCCCTTGGTAACAATCCATTTCCAGGTCATCTTTCCAAATGCAGAGCAACTAGAGATGTCTCTGTTTGCAAAGGTCTGGTTAACCACCTAGGCAAGCAAAGCCTCCCATGAAAAGGCCGGATTCTGGATTAGAGCAGTTGTCCTGAGGACAGCAATCAGGAGAAGTCACTGGGTTACAAAGAGCACAACTAGCCTGGAAGTCAAATTAGCACTACTATCCTGTACTCTTTGGGTCTCTGACACCAGTGTGTGCAGCAACACATTCAAAATGCAACTGGGCACCATCTGTCCTTCTTATGTTCTGCCTCATTTTGATAGTAAAAGTACCAGCCTGGTTATTTAGGTCAGATTGCTATCTGTATCACATTGTTGGAGGTTTTGGAAAATTTTCAAAAACATTGTTTCCAAACTCTTTATGATTATATGTTATATTAATATATGCTATAGAAGAATAATAGTTTTAGGGTTGGGCATCATAGAAAAGCTAGCAGTGGCTGAATTTGCTACACTGTGGTATTGCTTGTACGGGAGGAAAAAAAAATTATTGTTACTCCTGTGTGATAACCAGATGGTGAGTGTGAAAAAATGTCACTATTTAAAGGTCACTGTCGTGTATATATATATGTGTGTGTGCATGTAAGCATACATTAAAAATATATAAAAATTTCCATCAAAAGATTAGAAAGATACTTAAATTTCAATACTTTACCAGAAGGCTCTGTGAAATAGTGAAGTTAATGTTATGTCCAGTCCAGAGTCTGAGTTTACTGAAGCACAATTAAGGCCTATATTTCAATAGACAGTTAGTGCATTTGACTGCCTCATTTTCTAGTTATCCAGTTTGCAGTGCTCAGGACAGAGTGCCCAGCACTTTGTTTCCTCCCATTTGCAATCAGGTGGCTGACTGCACTCCAAGTCTGTGGTGTTTTCAGACCCAACACACTGTGAAGAAATCCAGATTGGCAGACTTATTTTCAGTCTTGTAGAGAGTAGATGCTTTGCCTATTTTACTCATTATTCTTCTCGATAGAGAGCACAGATGAATGTAGAACCGTAGAACAACAGAAAAATCCTCAACAAGAAGGGTTTCTACAAGTACATGGGCAGCAAAAGGAAGGGTAGGGAAAATGTGGCTCTGCTTCTGAGTAGGGCAGGAGACCTGGTGGCCAAGGATATAGAAAAGGCTGAGGTGCTTTCTTCACCTCAGTCTTTACTAGTAAGTCCAGCCTTCAGGCCCTTGAGACCGGGGGGAAGACTGCAGCAAGGAAGGCTTATCCTCAGTGGAGGAGGATCAGGTTAGGGAACAAACTGGACATGCAAACCCATGGGGCCTGATGGGATGCACCCAGGAGTGCAGAGGGAGCTGACTGATTTCATTCTGAGGCCACTTTCAATTACCTTTGAAAGGCCCTGGTGATGGAGAAGGTTTCTGAGGCTGTGAGGGAAGCAAATGTCACCCCTGTCTTCAAGAAGGGTAAGAAGAAGGATCCCAGGGAACTATAGGCTGGACAGCCTCACGTTGATCCCTGGGAAGGTAATAGAGCAACTGATCATGCAACTCATTTCCAGAGATATGAAGAACAAGAAGGTGATTCAGAGTAGTCAGCATGGATTTATGAAGGGCAAAATCATGCCTGATGAACCAGATAGTCTTCTACAATCAGGTGAATAAGTGGATGGGGGGAGAGCAGTCGACTTGTTTATCTTGACTTCAGAAAGGCTACTGACACTGTCTCACATAATACCCTCACAGAAACTGAACTAAGATCTAGATAAATCAACAGTGAGGTGGGCTAAATGCTGGCTGAAATGCTGGGCACAGAGTTGTGATCCAGCTGAAGGACAGTCACGGGTGTACCCCCAGAGTTGATACTGGGGCTAATTCTGTTTAACATCTTGATTGATGACCTGGATGATAAGACAGAGTGCACTTGCAGTGAGTTTGCAGACGATAAAAGGTTGGGAGGATTGGTTGACAGATCAGATGAGTGTGGTGCCATTCAGAGGGGCCTCAACAGGCTGGATAAATGAGCAGACTTATGCCTTGGATCAAGCTGTCTTCCATCAAGTTGTCTTTCAGCTCTGTCTGAAAACTGGCTAGGACCTTCGTCTAGCAATTGTACAGAGAAGGTGTTTTAACATTCAACCTTCTGAGAAAGCAGGTATTCTCTCTCATGTTCACACATGCTTCAGCTTTTCTAGTTCAAATTAATAGGACTGTTGGCTTCTTTGCTGTCTTTCCTTAGGTTGTCAGGAAAACATGATTTGCAAGCTGAGGTAATATCTTACATTAGCTGGCTTATGTAGTTATAAGCTGCATTTTGAGGAATCCTTGACATCCCGCAGAAGGCCAAATTGTTAAATACCAACTTCTTAATCTCTACCCTTATGGAAGGATATGACTTCAGATTTGAGCACCTCTGAAGAGCCAGAAGAGTTCTTCTGTCCTGGAGATGTTGAAGTGCTACTCTTAAATTAAAAAAACTAACACAAACCAACCTGTCAAGATTATCCATTTTCTCCCTGAATAAGCTGGTGAACACTCTTTAAAAGAAAATTTTATGGCCCCCAAACCATTTTGTTTGTCCGTTTGTTCTATAATGAAGCCAGATCTCACAGAACTGGATTGTATGTTTTTGGACTATCACCAGGTCTTAATTTGTCTCACTTTCTGTGTTATTTAAACTTGGAATCTCACTGTTTTTTAATTCTGTTTTATTGGTTTTTTTTTTTAAAGCTTACACGTACAATCTTTCACTGCCCAAAGTCAGCAAGGGACAGCTAGAATGATTTAATATATCCTACTGTCTACCTGAAAGCAGAAATCCTTGAGCCAAGGAGCTGCAAGGCACTGTCCAGCCCTGTTAGTTCCACTGGACACAAAGGGGAGCTCTGTTGCAGTCGCCACAGGTTTAAAAGATGAAAAGTTGAGACCAAATTCTTTTGTCTCACCCAAATAATTTACTGAAATAATTTCCTTCACTTAAAATCTCCCTAAATAAATTGAGCAAAAATATGTATTTGTTTTCCTTCTGTTCCCTTTTTTCTGGGACTTTTGAAAATGTTCATGAGCAGTAATCTTCGTAAAACCTCTAGATCTTTGAATATGCAATGGAGAAAATAATTTTCAATAGCGACTTCTTTTCATGCCCTGTTGTAGAGCAGCCTGCAACCACCAGAGAGGTGTAAAAAAATCCCTTTCCCATGTGAGGCTAACCTCCGGAGGGACACAGCAAGAGGGAAGGCTTGAGGTTCTTCCCATTCTTTGCCTTGTAC